ATACTGTAGAAAACCCTAAAAACTCTATTCCCGCAACAGAGAACCGAACGACCAGATCTCTTTGTACCTTCGCTCTCGCCAATCTACGACGACTACCGAGCGACGGATGATACCAACTTACTTTGATTTTCGATATTGATTATTTGTACCTCAATATTTGTTGATTAATAAAGATCTATCTCTTCTCGTCATTTCGTAGGACTATTCACAGACAAACTGATTAAAATTTGCCCAAACAATAATTATAGTTTTTTACTTTGTTGCTCCCGCTGACGCAGCGTTCGCTAAAAGAACAGAGTAATTACTCAGTCTGAGGCCCCGTAATCTTAATGAAAAGAGAAGTCAACAAATTGACCAAAAAAAGAAACAAATTTGAATTCATAAATCATAATAATGTAGAAGCGTGGTGATACACATCTCCTTCGTCTCAATTTCTCTCATTTTGTTCACCATGTCATCTAAATCTAAAAGAATCAAATTTTATCTTTGTCGAAGTCACTTACTACCACTTCTCGAATTTTAATTTTAGTTTATTAAAATATGTAATTTAATATTCTATACTATTAAAAAGGAAGTACTTTTTGTGTCCAACAAAATTTTATTCATTTAAGATTATTCTGTTTTTGGATAACTATTATTTCTGTTACCAAACAAATATTTTAATTTAATTTATCTATTTTATTTATTTCTAAAATTAATAAATTAATATATTTGAATTTTATTTTTGAAAATATTTTGAAAAAATTCAAATTCAATTCAGTTTAGTTTTTCTTAGATATATGTTAGATTAATTATCAAAATTACAAAAATCAGTTGTTATTATCTTTAGAAAAATAGAAAATAGGATATTAATTTATGTTATAGTTAGATATCTAAATTTAAATAATATTCTTATGCTAATAAAGATAATAAATGATATATTATTATATACTTTCTTATAATCAATCAGTTTAAACATTAGATATTTAAAATTAAAAAAATCTTTATATTATATGGTAATATGAACGTACGAGCTAGAATTATGTTTTTATATTCATAGTCTTCAAATTAGTCGAATGAACAGGTTAAAATTATATTTCTATAATCGTGGTAAAATTATTAAAAAATAAATTAAAAAAATTCATCTAAACAAAAAAATAAGTTTGTGTCATTTATTAAAAATATTATTTCTATAAAAACATAAATTACATTATAAAATTAAATTAAAAATAAAAATTTCGTGTAGATGCACGGGGTAGAATCTAGTTTCTAAGTTTGTATATGAAGAGCAGATCTAATTGTATTAGTGTCTATAATTGATTTCTTTTTGGTCAAATAAATATTTTTACATAAGTAGAGTTGTAGTTTTCGAAAAAAATTAAAACAGTGTATTCTTCAAATTCTAAATCTTAAATATGTATTTTGCTAATTATCCTTTAAACTTATGGATACATAATAAAGATAATTATTAAAATCTAACTTCATTATATATTGTTTATTTTTATTTATAGGTGAGATGTTTTCTAACCTATTAGTCCTGTTGGAAAAAACAGTCTTGAAATGTTTATAAGTGTATGATGCATATTGTTGTTCCGTCACTTTAAAAAAAAAATTGTTAAAATTTCACTTTTAAATAAAACTAACAACAATGAAGTCATATTTTAATAAATTATCTTTGATATGAATACTTTAATTTATGTATTGTTTACTTTAATAAATCTATATACTTATTTGTGTAGTGATTTGCTTATGTGTCGCGCTCACGAGTTTCACCGCTTCTCACTTACGTGTCAGTTCCAAAATGAGTTTTGGCCGCAAAAAGACTGTTTAGCCATATTTTACAATTACGTGTCATTTTTAAATTGGTTTTCATCTGATGATGTGTCAAAAAAAACTTAAAACAAACCAGCCTAAATAATTATGGTTAAATACTTAATTCCATACTCAATCAAACCGTTTTTAAAATAAAATTAAACCGAATTTTAGGCCAAAAAACTTAAAGACGTTTTTATTTTTAAAAAAAATTAACCATTTCTAGTGTCTTCAAAAATGTTTTTCTAAAAAAAAAAAAATTTACCATTTCTAATATTTTCGAAATAATCAAAAAATCTAACTAAAATATTAACTAAAATTTAGTATAAATATAAGCCATTTTTCACTACTTCTCTCACAACTTTCACTATTGTTAAACCTATTCCTTTTTTTTATTCAAAACGTTTTCAAATTTATATTAAACCAAAATTTAGAAAAAAATAGGCAAAAACATTTTAAAAAAAACACAAAAAATTAAAAATTTACCATTTTTTATGTTTCCAAAATTTAGAAAAAATCTAACTAAAATATTAAAAGAAACAAAAATTGGAATAAAATTTAGAATATCGTTTCAAAACAAAAACAAAAACAAAATTTATGCTAGAATATCGCTAATTATTATAGTGTTTACGATTTCTTATGTTTATAGGGTTTTCAATTTTTATAATTTTTATAAAACTAAAATTTAGTAAAAATCTAAGAAAAAAGTAAAAAAAAAAATAAAAATAAATAAAATCTATATGTCTAATGAAATGTCATTAATTATGATATCTAGTGTAAAATTTTCAATTTCTTATCTTTATATTTCAGAAAGATTTTTTAACCCTTTTGTTAAAATCAAAAGCTTATTTTTTAAATTTTGGGTTCGTCTAACTTAGAATAGAGATTAAAAAAAAATTCAATGTTCTTAAAATTATTTATTTATAAAATTACACTTGGTAGACATATATAGCCCATCGCGAGACGTAGGCAAGTTAACTAGTTATCATTATATATTGTTTACTTTTATTTATAGGTGAGATGTTTTCTTAGATATATCACAAAGGGTGGAAAATTGGCTTTTTCCAACCTGAACTTTGCGAAAATGTTAAACTTATACCTAAAGTTTTAACCTAGCTAAAACATTCTTCATCTTCTTAATAATTTGAATTTCATACCTACTCTTATTTAAGAGTAGTTTAAACCTACTTTTGCCCAAACGGAGTTAAACTACCGTTAAATATAGTCTACGTATCATCCACATAAGCGACTGTAAGCAACAACGTGTTTCATATTTTTGAATTATGAAAAAAAAAACTAAACGACGTCGTTTTCTGTCTTGACCAAAACTGAGAGAAAAAAAAAAGACTGGACTAGGATAAAATCTCGATAATGAGAAAATTCAGGATGAGATTCGGAAGGAACCGCCTCGCCGGCATTGACGGTGGCGAGAACAATGACGTCTCCATCCTCCCTCTGCAACACAGCGGAGATACGGGAAGCGAAGGCTCATGTTGCTACTGCGATCTCGATGTCTAACGAACCTCTGTTTACCAATTTGATTCAACAACCAAATCCAAACAAAAAATCTGTAGATTTAGAGTTTTACCCGAAGCAGCATAGAGGAAGACGAAGTGACAACAGCCATTGAAGCTCTGGTTTGAGAACCGTTTCAATTCAATTGATTCCAAACAATATAGACATGCTATTCCCAAATAAGCTGAATCCTTCAGCAAAAAATCCAATTTTAGAGGGTTTACTGATTCTCAGATTTCATAATTGTGTGTAAAAAGAAACCATACATGGTCGGAGCTCCGGTATCAAGCCGCAGCTTTCGTGACCACCTCTTAATTATGTGCAGCACGAGTAGAACATATGGATCATCTGCTCGAGCAATTAAAATAGTCAGTTACAAACTTATGAACACAAACAGAATTTTTGAGAGAGAGAAGGGAAAGGAGAGAAGAAGAAGACGATGAGAAATTTGATGATGAGATTACCAAGCAGCTTGAGAAACTTCTCCGTTTCGGCTTCTTCATCGAACGGTAAAACCTCCAAGGCATAATCCTCACTAACTAAGCTGGATTTGAAGCTGTGTCTCTGTGTTTTTATTTTGGTTTTTTTTCTCAGGTTCGCTGCCGGTGATGGGAGGATCTAGCGGTGGTGTATGTCCGATGTCACGTTGTCGCTTATGTGGATGTCATGTAGACTATTTGACGGCAATTTAACTCTGTTTAGACGAAAGTAGGTTTAAGGAAAAAAAAAGTAAATTTAAGTATGAAATTCAAATTATTAAAATGATGAAGAATGTTTTAGCAAGATTAAAAGTTGGGGTATAAGTTTAACATCTTCGCAAAGTTTAGGTTAAAAAAAACCAATTTTCCCAAGTTCATAAGTGGGGTCTACAATTTTTTTGGATAAAAAAATATTAAAAAAGCTCATTTCTGTTGATCTCGTATGAGTGGAGTCATACTTGTGAATCTATATCACTGAGTATCATTGGCCAAGTGGCAAAATCTGATTGGGCTTGTGAGAAAAAAAAATATTAAAAAATAATTATTTAATCGATTTCAGAATTAAATCGATTTCAAAAATAATTATATTATTTCAGAATTAAATCGATTTAAAAAAAAGAAAATTAAAAAAAAGATTATTTTAATCTGATGATCTCCAAACATGGATTCATGGTTGGAGGTGCAAAATTGGTTGGGGTTCATCAAACTTAAAAAAAAATTAAATAAAAAATCCTATGAACCCCAAGGAAGGATTCATGGTTGAAAATGTTGTCTTGTTAGAAAAAGCAGTTTTGAAATGTTTATAAGTGTAGGATGCATATTGTTGTTTCACTTTAAAAAAAAAAAATGTGTCAAAATTCACTTTTAAATAAAACTAACAACAACTAAGCCATATTTTAATGAATTATCTTTAATATGAATACTTTAATTTATGTATTTAAATTCACTCTTTATTATTATTTTTTTTGTCGTCCAGTCCTTATTAATTTATTATAATAATGGTTTCTAAGGGATTATTATCTTATTATTTGTTCCACTTAAGAAATTTATTATACTTTTATATATTTTAATTAATTTACCGGAGTTATGGGATTTACCAATCCGACCAGAGTTCAGATCAGGTCTAAAAATAGCTCTCCGGATTAGCGTCTTGCCAAATTTAGAGATGGTCTATTAGTAATTTTTGCATTAGTCTTTTTGAGAATGGCAATGTGGTGTACCACTTTTTTTTGGGGAAAAAATCTAAGTGAAACATTAAGTGTTCTTTTCCTACTATCTCATTATCGTTCTCAAGGACAATATCCTCACAACCGAATACCAAAAAAAAGACAAAAAAAAACTTAGAAAATGAAAAATTATCATAAACAGTAAAAAAATGGACAACTTCACCGGATCGATTGCCCTCGGCCGCATCCACCACCGCTGTTATGACGACAACCATCAAAGTTGAAAGTAATCATTAAGAAACAAAAAATTCTTAAACCAACAAGCCAAAAGACAAAACAGAATATGATGTCTTTACCTACATCACTATAGTGGAATAGTTGAAGAGAGTGAAGTAATCTTCAATTTTTACTCGCACTTTATGGACCGGTAAATGTGACGGACAAAGAAAAGCGAAGCACGGAATCCGATTGCCCCGAGCATGAGGAAGAATCCATAGCAGATGCAAGCCATATAGCCAAAGAAGAAGGAGGTCTGCATAAACCCTGTCATATCTGACCGTGCATAGTAGTAATACAAGCAGTAGGCGTATATGAATAAGCCTGTTGATCCACCGCATAGCAATGATCTTCGGATGCAAAAGTTAAAAAAAAAAAAAAATCAGATGGACAAAGAGAATTTAACAATTATAGACAAACTCAAATAAACTAGAGCATTTGATCCATCGTGGTTAAGAAACCATCATAGACAAAAGAGCTTAATCCAAATATTGTTACGACTAGACAATTTCTATATGTTCATGTATAAACTTAATCCAAGAAACAGGACCAGAATATAAAGATCCCACAAACCTCTCGAGAAGTAGATTCAGTTAAGATATATTCCTTGAAAATACCACAAGATGAATAATGGAACCAGAAGTAAAGAAAGAGAAGAAGAATTCACCTCCACCACCACTCATGGTCTTCAGAAGCAAGTTGGAAGTAAGTCAATGCAACTGTGATGAAAGCAGTGACTATGACGAGAATAAGGAAAACGATAGAGAGAATACTATAGATGGTGTAAATTCTGTGACCCCAAACACTGGCAAAAATGTAGTAAAGTTCGATGTAAATGGCACTGAACGGCAAAAAACCAGCCATAGCCATCTGCGGAAGTGTTCTCCGGTACCAGCGCAATGGTGGGATTTCTCTTGGATATTTTGTGGTACGGCAAGGAGCTTGAAACTCGGGTTTTCTATTCTTCCCGGCGATACCTCCCAATATAAGTAATGGTGAAGTAACCAGTGCCCATATAAGGAAAATAACCACAATTGTCCCGAATGGCAACGCTGCAGTGGCTTGGTAAGCAATCGCAACAGTATTAAGGAAGGAGAAAGTTAGTAAAAGAGGTCCACAGAAAAGGCTTCCAGTCAGCATAAGATTCCTAACCTGCCAAGACAATCAATATCATCTTTTTTAATCAATCTGTTGAATTCTAGAACTGTTCACTCAATTTGTAAAACGCCATTATATTGCATCAAAACCTCTTGAAGCAATATGAACAGAACAAGAAACACGTGATGGAGAAAAAAGAGTATGAATTTCATGCATAATGCATGTCCAGAATTGTGAGCCAAAACCCAGCATGGAGAAAAAAGAGTATGCATCTCAAAAATAGAATCATATCGCATGGCCTGTAAGTTAAGACCTCAACAATACACATATGTTCATAAGAATGATATATGCATATTCCAGAATTAAAGAGAGGCGGTACAGAAACTTACACTACCCTCTAATATAATGAATACCTCCATCATGCATAACGCAAAATTGGTATCAAATGCTAAACCGCAGTACTGTTTGACTACTTTATACAAAGTATATTACTTGAGCACTGTAGGCAGGCATTTATTACCAAATTCTCATACCGAACGATTTTAGTAAATGCTCAAATGGGGGAAGACTTTTGGGCTGACTAACGAGACCTTATCAGAAAACGAGTCCTAAAACAAACAAAACCTCTAAGTGGCATCCATACTTACCCAATTAGTTCCTTCTAGCTGGCAATAGAAAGAAGCAGCAGTATATCCGGCGATTCCTGAAGTGAGTGCATATATGACAACCAATGCAGTAAACAATGCCCCACGGTTGTAGGGATAAAAGACACCGACCAATGCAAGCATAAATATGAAAACAGCCCTGCATAAATATATATAAAAAAAAGTGTCTGTTAGTAACTGAAAAGAAAACAGCATGCAAGGAAGCGCACCACAACTTTATGCGAAAACATACAGTGTAAACAATTGTGTGCCAGAACCAAGGGCTGCAGCCAGCAGGGATTTGTGTTTTGGGAACCTAAATACATCAGCATGGATCAACTTCCAGCCAGTCTCCTCTTGGTCATCAGCTGCCTCTTCATCATGTGCATACCTATTAAGTACAAAAGCCTATACAGTAAGCTACTAGATATATTGAAAACCACAAATTCAGTTATCTTATGCACTCTAGCTAATATCTTACTTAACAAAATCATTCTTCAAGACTCTCATGAGAATAGTTGCAAGGAAGCCAGTCAAGAGAAGGACAGTGACACATGAGTTAATGATCGAGAACCAGTGGATTTCCAAGTGATGCGGCATTGAGGAAGCCAGTGAGTATTTCTCCATCCTCTTCTCGAATGGAATTTCTGTTTCTTTCCACCGAACTGTGTATGTGAAATCCACTTCGACTTCCTTGTCCTCAGTCAAGTCCACGAGGAAGTTCTGGTCTGTTCTCACAATGATTTCAATAACACGGTCCTTATTGTAGAAAATCTCAAACTGTAGGTGATTGAATAGATAATATTTATACTCGGATGGGTCAGATTTGCCATCCTTTACAACTTTTCCCAGGAATCCCCAGATGGGCAAGTCATCATAATACATCTGAAAGTAGTAGTCTTTGGTGATCACATCTCGAAATTTAGCAACATCTTCTCTACTCAACCTCTTTCTGCATGCAACTTCAGAGTTCTTCTCACCCAAAAATTCAAGTTTGTAGGGTGCACTGACTAACCGATCTCCATTGAGAACTTCCCCAAGAGCTTCCTTCTTTTCCTTAACCGGAGCTGTACAATATTTTCCTTAGCTATATGAAGTGCACAAATTCACCTACTAAACTAAGCTATTTAGCATCCGTACATACCTGATGAACAGAATGGTAGATCAAAGTATCGGTATGTTTCACTGCAATGCATAGAAAAGAATAATGGTTAGCTCAACTCAGGGGATTACGAAAGCTCAGAAAACCAAAATTTTCCGAACAAAATTTTCAGCATCTCAACATCCAAATTGAAAACAAAAAGTATAATAGTAATAGTTCAAATTAACACAACAGACATAGTAGATCACCAAATCCGCTAGAATTTTAAGCATTGGTGGTTCCACTTAATATCCAGTCATTTGCTCAAGCTGGAGATTAAGCATTTGAGCATGGATCAAAGCGATCTACATAAGAGGACGATTAAGCATTTGAGCATGGATCAAAGCGATTTACATAAGAGGATTACACTAAATTAACATCCAAACTCATTCGCTACTTCATCTTTCCTTTCTTTCAAATAAAAACCAGAGAAGTGATATAAATAGACTGAAACGATACAGAATACTCCAAGGACATTCACAGAGACCAAATTGCTGACGATAGGAAAGAAACAAAAAAAAAGCCTACGAATTTGCCATCACAATTTGAATTACAAAAGCTGATAAACCAAAATTTCTAGCAAATTATCAGCACCTCTCAATAGCCAATACAGTTGAAACCAAAATGCAAAACAGTACTTGTTCAAACTAAAACACCAGAGTTAGTCGTAGTGGATCACCAAAATCCGATAGCATTTTATCAAGCTGACCGTTTAAGCATTTGAGCATGGATCAAAGTAACTTTCTACATAAGAGGTTTACACTACATTATCATCCAACCACATTCACAAAAGAAAAACGAGAGGAGTGATTCAATCGCATGAAACGATACAAATCGTTGCCGATTAAGAAATTTCCACCCCAAAATGAAGTCCATTATCACGAATCCTAGCTCGAGACTGTTATTATTAAAGAACGCAATGAATCAATTGAATCAGAAACCCCGAAGAGCGGAGAGATCTCCATGGAATGGATTCAGAAATCGAAAGCTCAGATCTGAATAGATTTGCACACACCTCGGATTGTGAAACGGCCCGACTTTATTAGCATAAAGCGGAACATCATCACCGACTTTGTAACGGTGATCGGAGCCGTCGGATATCACCGGAGCAACGCCGTAGATGAAGAGGACCAGTAGAAGCGAAGGCAGCAGCACACGCGACGCTGGCTTCTCCATGGATTCTGAATTTAGCTATGAGAGAGAGTGAGAGATGCTTTGAGAGGTTTAAGCGGTTGGGTCGATGATCATGATAACTTATGAGTGAGAGTGATTTTGTTTCTCCGCGATGCAAGTCATGAATTTACAATTTTGAAACGAAACCATTTTGTCATTAATATTTTCTTTTCACGAGTTGTTTTATTGTATTTTTGATTAGAGTATCAGATTTAAATTGTTATTTTTTGGCATTTAATTTATAACGATTAGGACATTTTAACTCAAGATTAGTTGGTTGTTGCCTGTTGGGATCAGACGAAGAGTAAAGTAAAGGGTACTTTTTATGTGACGTTTATGGGCTTTTATTTTGGGTTTTTAACTTTTTATTGGGCTTGGGCATTCGAGAGCTTACGTTAAGTTCGGAACTTCGGTATTTCGGTATTTTGTTTGCTCGGTCCATTTTGGTTCGGTTTTGAGTAATTATAATCAGTTTAGTATAATCAGTTTAAGCCATGTATCTTTATGACTTTATTATCCATTCATGAGCATATACGTACAAAGCTAAAATCCAAACTTTTTGAAATAGCTATACTTCACACACATATGGCCATAAGAGTAGATATATTTAATCTTGCACCTACAAAATGTAATTTATTAAAAAATCTTTATCGAAGAAAACTTTAATGTTAGAGAAGTGAAGGTTTTAAACGTATAGTAGGGATTGGAATGGTAACTGAAACAATGGATCTGAATTAGTTTGAGGTCTTAAAAAGCTGTGAGATGTAAGAGAAGATGTCAGATATGGAATAAATGATTGTTGCTTTTGACAACCATTATTACATTTAACGGACTTTGAATTCGATTACTCTGTGTATATACATGTATGGAGTCTGTATAAAAGAATAGGTAGTTTATGTGGAAATGTGGAATGCTATATGCCTATATGTGGTTGCTCATGTCTCACAAGTGATTTGCTGAGAATGAACAGAACAATTTTCTACTGGTGGTGCCAACTTTGGTGCATTTCATTTGAGACATTTGTAGTTTGTTATGCTGATTCCTTGTGTGATAAGTAACTCTTTTTTTTTTTGAAATTGTGAATTAATTTTGCTTGGTCACTATACGGTTCCTATAGCAATGGATGAGGTCGTTCACTGGCTCGATCGTGCTTCAAGGTTTGATCTTGAGGGCTTGTGTTAAACTCCAAACGCATCTAACCATCTAGCTATACATGGTATGTATAATGGCTGAATTTATTGGGGGCATACCCAAATTTTCATGAATCAAATAAGAAGTTCTGTAGCCAAAGATAGTTTTAGATTTTATTATTTTCCATATCTCGATTCTTGCAACTTTTCAAAAACACAGAACAAATCTTTAAGGTGATCATATGATTTATTTGATTTAAGAAAATTAAAGGCAAAGAAATTCGAGAAAAGATTTAAGTTCCTGATTCAGAACATTGTTGAAGAAAAAAACTCTGAGATTGAGATCTTTGTATGAAATTTTTCTTCGGCGTATCATAGGAGGTATCCAAAGCACATTTTGTTCTCTCTAAAAATATTCTATTTTATACACAATATTCAAAATTTAAGAATAAATCTTACCAAATCACCAAATAAGCCACGAAGAGTAAATATCTATAAGATTCACCTCATCTAAATTCCTAATTGGACCGTAGAGAAAGATGTGTTCAACCCAAAATTGCTTTTATTAATTCTAAACCTAATTAATACTTGAAAAGAGAGAGAAAGAGTATTAAATGAAAAAAAAAAACCAAACGATATTATGATCAGACCTCTTCACAACTACACTTTAAATGCAAAATCACCGAGCCATTTCCTCTCCCAATACACTTCATTTCCCTCAAAACATTTCACCTCTTCCAATACACTTTCTCTCCAAATTTGAAGATGAAGGCGAGGAAAGATAACAATTCTCGCAAGGTATTGAAAAAGCTTTGATTTATTTTATTTTTTGGCTCAGAATCTCTTCTTAATAAGATGTTTGATTTGATTTTATATGTGCATTACAGCGCAAACAATCAACTTTGATTGAGACATATGTTGCACAATGTGGAACATGTGGGAAGTGGAGGCCTGTTCCATCTCAAGAACAATATGAGATAATACGAAGCAAGGCGTTGAAAAATTCCTTTAGATGCAAGAACGGCTGTAGAAAGTCTGAAGATGTTGATGTGGAAGGTGATACCACAAGGGTATGGTTAGAGGATAATCTCCATGGTTTAGCCAAAACCCCACCAGGATTCAAAAGGATCGTGCTTCTTAGAGAAAGCTGCGAGAGGACAGATGTTTATTACCTTACTCCTCAGGGAAAAAGGCTAAGGACTATCAAGGAATTTGCTGCTTTTATCAAAGACAACAAAGGATTCACAAAGACAATTATGAAAAACATTTCTTTTAAGACGCCAAAAGTGATGAAGAAGAAAAATAAGTTTGACGGTGTTGCTGCACATACTAACACACCGGCGTTAGTATTGGTATGTATTAAGTTTTTTATAAAGATTTTTATCTATTATCTTTAATATGAGGATAACCCATTTAGTGATGTTGAGGTATATGTCGTTTCAGAAAGCACGCAAAATGGTTCCAACGAAAAAACTAATCAAGAAAAGGTCTAAAAGCTCACTTGCAATTAACTCAGACGACAGAGAAAAAGGAAAAGTTATTCCTGAGAGCCTTCAAAATGACAAAAATCCAGCTACTGACAAGTAAGTGGTACCATAATACTGAAACAGATTTTGTTTACCTTCTAGCTGAAGATGCTATCTATACGCTGAATTGAACATGAGAAAAAAAAAGTAGTTGCCAAGGAAATGAATCTTTAAGATTCTGGATTGAACCTGCTCAAAGATGCTATAAATGTATGCAAATACTTATTTTGCTTCATGAGACAACTTCTGCTAAAGTTGTCATTCTTAGTATTGTTTTAATTTGAACCCAGTACATACCAGCGTTAGTGTTGTTATCTTATATGTTCCCTCCTTTTATAAACCAAAATATGTGTAATATTTCAGGGAGGATAAACCATCGGATAATGTTGAGATTTCTGTTGATTTAGATGACGGAGGGGTAAAACATATGCCCGAACAGAATGAGAAGCAAGCTACTGACAAGTAAGTTGTATCATACTATTGAACATATATTGTGTCACCTTCTAGCTTTCAGGATTCTAGAAGATGCTAGGTTGAACTGAGAGCATGAAATGGACAATTTTGTTGTTTATGATATAATTAGATCGATATCAGACGTGATTTATATATCAGTGGCCAGTGTTAAATAACTGATCAAGTGTGCTCACTGAGTTTTCCTTATCCAGTGATAGGAAAACGTTACTCATTTTCTTCAGAATTTAACGTTTCATATACAGTTGAATTATCCATTAGAAAGTTCATATCATTGTTATTATTTCCTCATTGGTATTACTGTTTTATGATGACAGGGAGATTGAATCAGCAAATGATGTATTGCTCTCTCAAAATGGGGATGCAACCCCATCAAAGAAAAAGAGGAAGAGGGATAAGAGAGAAGAAACTAGAGAGAAGAAGAAACAAGCTACTGAAACTGACAAGTGAGTCGTACCGTTCATTTTATGTAGAATTTTCAGTAGAATATATTTCAGAAATAAATGTTATAGTCTGAAAATATAAGGTAGATGGTATGATCAACTTTGGTTTCCTGGGACAAGTTTCTCCTAAAAAGTTGTCTCTTTTAGTTTTGTCTTTTAGGTTTCAGTGGATATTCTCTCGACATTTATTGGTGTTTTAGGTTAGAAACTACGCTTATCAATTTTATCTCCATTATGAAATAGGAACATCGAGAAAGAAGTTTGTACCAAGAAATCGTCAAAATCAGATGTATCTTCATCAAATGAAGTTATAATTGAAGAGCTTGAAAAAGCAAAAGCTGATGGAAAAGTAGCAAAAAATGGGAAAAAAGTGAGTATCTATATGCAATCTTTGATGTTAAATATTATCTCAATTCCCAGCACCATGAGAATTCTTTAATACGATTGATGGTTGTTACAGGTGAGCATACTCTATACCGGGAAGTTGAAAGACACTGAAGAAATATTTGTGTCAAACATGGAAGAAGCTCCGTTTAGATTTCGCTTGGGTAAACGATTTTCATAGATATCGACATATCGTATTGTATTATTACTGTTGTTGCTCCTCCCATCGTCAAGCACAACTAATTATAATGCGGCTTTCAGGTAGAGGAAAGGTCATCAAAGGCCTTGACATTGGTATCGAAGGTATAGTGTGGCTTAACCAGTAAATGATTTGGACTGAAGAAAAAAATTCGTAAATTTCGATATATCTTTTTTAAATAATAAGACTGCATCTCTAATTCTCAGGGATGCGAGCCGGGGATAAAAGAAGAATCACAATTCCGCCATCCCTTGGGTATGTTCTTAATTAGTGGTATCAGTTGAGCATGTCTACTGTCTAGTTGTTTCATCTCAGCAAAATGTTACTAAACCTTACTAAGTTGTATCCAAAACCTGGTTTGTTGTGATAAACACAGGTACTCAGAAGATGGATTCAAAGATGTTGTTACTCAAAATGCATGGCTTGTCTATGAAGTCGAGGCAGTAAAAGTCAGATGAGATTTAGATACAAGCCTAGGTTTTTTGCTCCGTCTCCATGGAAAAGTTTGTTGACTCCTTCCTCCTTTATGCTTTATTCTCCTTCTTTTGTTAGCACTTTTACATAACTCGTGGTCTTGGTTTGGTTTTTGTTTTGGATTTTGTTATGGATTTACGGTTGATCGGTTTATTAAAAGTGAAACCTTATAATAATCATAATCATTCCGTTTTAGATTTTTCTTGGTTTATTCATGATTTTCAGGAAGAAAAAAATAATTAGAGCACAAGTAGGTTTTCTGGATCATAAATCTAAAACAAACATATACAAATGAGATGCTATATGGAGAAAACACACTCCTATAATGACATTACATGATTACAAATTCTTTGTTTTAGAGTCGTCTCTAGATCTCCAGTAGAGAAAAGGTTCATATCGGTCATGGTATAATCCAACTCTATGATCTTGATTTTCCAGTGACTAAAACTGAAGTAGAGATACAATGGTTTTTGTCCACTGCTTTTTCCAACTCCTCTGTTTCTTTGTTCGTATTAAAATAGAACGTGAGGCTCTTCTTTATCTGAAACTCTAAACCATGAAAAAGCCCGTGATGAATGTATAACAGTCTGTTGTTACTTGTTACGCAATATTTTTCAATGGTTTCTTTATATGCAGAAATACGAAAGTTAATGAACAAATAAAATGGTGTAAATAGTAAAAACTAAAAACTAGAGAAAACAGAGTAACAGAAAATCATATAGGATGAGCTGGAAAAGATTATCAATTGCCTCCTGGGAAAAGATTATTCAATTCAATCATGGGAATCACAAAATTTCTGATTGGACCAAAGATGCTTTATTAAATACGTGAGACCTCTTCATTTCACCTTAAAGGCAAAATCGAAGTCTCCCAAGTCTTCTTCACTTCACCTGAACACAAAACCTCTTCCTCTCCCAAAAGTCTTTACCTCTCTCAAAAAATGAAAACGGAGAAGGCGACTCAAGAAACCAGTTCTCGCAAGGTATCAGTTTAAACTTTTGCATGATGAAGATTCGTTTTGTTTTTGGAAGAATCTTTTGCCCTTTTTTTCTTTGTAATCTATGTGTTTGATTTCATGTGCTTAGCAGGAAGCATCGATTATAATTGACGCATATTCTACAAGATGTGCAAAGTGCAAGAAGTGGAGGTTCCTCAACTCTGAAGAAGAGTATGAGGAAATTATTAGTAGATCACCAAACAAGTCTTTTTCATGCAAAAACTGTGAAGAACCAGAAGTTGACGTTAAGTATCACTGGACAACTGTGTGTCTACTCGGTGGTTCTCGTCCAATTGTAATGCAAAGGTTTAATTCTGAAGTTCACGTTTCATATAAACTTTTTTTTTCTTTTCTAAACGTTTCATATACACTTGATTACGGATTTATGATGGCAACTCGAAACTCCCATGTATTTTAAACTTTTCATTAACATTACAGGGAGAGGAACCCATCTAGTGATGTTGTATCATCCTCTCATAATGCGAATGGTGATGCAACTTCATCTAAGAAAAAGAGGAAACGGGATGGGAAAGAGGGAATCAGAGAGAGTAAGAAAGTAGCTGAAGTTGTCTTTTTTGAAGAGCTTGACAAAGGAAATCTAGATGGAGAAGTAGCTGCAAAAGGAAAAAAAGTTAGTATATTTCTTTTTTTTTATACATGGAATCTTGATGATGTCTCAATTCTCAAGAACCACTAGGCGGAACGAGAATTCTTTAAAATGAATGATGGTTGTTTTCAGGTGAGCATATTCTATACTGCGAAGCTAAAAGATACCGGAAAATTATTTGAAACAAACCTTGGAGAAGCACCAGTAAAATTTCGCATAGGTAAAGGATTTCATAGATTTTGTATCATCCTCATTATCATTGTTTGTTTCTCTCCATCCTCAAAACACAATTAGGTTATTCTTTAATTATAGTGATCTGCTTGCAGGTAGAGAGAAGGTCATAAAAGGTCTAGAGATAGGTGTGGAAGGTATGTCTAGTGGCTTTCAGATGATTTGGACTGAAAAAAAAATCACAAATTTTGAATAATCTTTTAAATAACAAGGCTGTATCTCTAATTCTCAGGGATGCGTGTTGGTGGAAAAAGAAGAATCACAATTCCGCCATCCCTGGGGTATGTTCTTAGTGGTATCACTTGAGTATGTCTAGTTGATTCATCACAGCAAAATTTTACTAAAACTAACTGAGTTTTATGCAAAACCTGTTTTGTTGTTATGAACACAGTTACTCAGAAGAGGGATTCAAGGATGTTGTGCCCAAAAATGCCTGGTTAGTCTATGAAGTCGAGGCAGTCAAAATCAGATGAGCTATTGACCTTTTGATTCAAGCGTACGTTTTATGGTTCCGATTATCTACTTGTCTCCATGGAAAACTTCATTGGCTCCTCCTGCCTCATGCTTTATTCTTCTTTCTTATTTGGGATTTGTCAGCAGTTTACATTATTCAAAACTCTACTGATTATTCAGTTAAAGGCCTACCATTGTGTTTTTTTTTTGTTTTTTTTTTGTTTATTCAATGATTTTTAGAAAACAAAAAATAATTCATGCACAACTATATTTTCTGGATCTTAAATTATAATCCAAACCCTAAATCTAGAATAAACCTATAAACGTAGATGCTATATGGAGAAAACTTAGACTCCTATAATCACATCTGAACCCCAAATTTTTGTTTTAGGAATCCTAGCAACTGTTCTCTTGGTGGTTTTAGCCTTTAGGGAAAAGATTATCAATGGGAGCACTAAAGGATAAAAAACCGCTTTCTTGAACTCACTTGCTGATAGTACAAAGAAAAAAAGAATCTACCAACTCTTGAATGGCGGCAAAAGATGAAGAGAACAATGTCAAACATTACTCAACATGAGTTGGTTTACTACATTGGTTGTATACGAAATATAGATTACGACTTTGTTTATCAGATTATCACAACTAACACTTGATAATAGCTACAACTTTTAAGGTATAAGGTTATTTAGTTGTCTCTGTGGATTCATAAGCAGCATCAGCTGAAGAAGTATCGATGTCATTGAGACCCAACTCCTCGTTTTGTTCCCATGATCTCTCGTACTCTTCATCTGTAGGTCAAATATATACAACAACAACATTTGTTACTTGAAACCCAAGACTCCTGTCCTAATTGACATATATTTAGTCCTAATTAAAGTCAATCTCATACTGTAGTTATGAAATTCAAAAACAGAAATCAAATTTAACCCTTTAGGTATGTTTGTTTCTTTTCGATCTATAACAAAGGAAAAGGAAAACGGATACAACCACTCAATCTTTTTTCTTTTTCCGGAGTCAAACTTAAGGCTCTAGTGAAGGAAGATGGAGGAACTTACATGTGAGCTGATGGTCATCTTTGATATCATCTGTTACTGGTGATATAAAGGAATTCGCTAATTCATCATCAAGAATCAAAGTCCATGACTGTTCTAAGCTTAGTAGCTGCAAGAATAAATAAGAAAAACAAAAAATACAAACCAGATCTTATTGCTTTGCTTTTTCTTGCACATCAAGAACAAGAGAAGGCTAAAACAGTAAGAGTTTCTACCTTAGTTAGCCGGGATCCAAATTCTTTCCACTTGTTCTTCTTACTCTCGTCCAAACTGTCACCAAAAGTGAATCCGTGGACTCTCGCTAAGCCTGTGAGAAACCATATCGCACTTGAGTCAGTAGTTAAGAGCTACAATCCATTATTACCGATAACAAATCTCGCGGAAAAAAAACAAACATCACTGGGATTGTAACGCTTCTGAAATCCAAGCAATGACAGCTTTGTAAGGAAGGATATAGGATACTTAGATCATGATGACTAATGTGCCATGGTTCTCTATATATGTTTTACATTACTTAGACCACTTAAAAATGATTGAAATGAAAACGAATTCAGTCCTGACAAGGATAATGTCTAGATGTTGAAAGGTCATACTTACTTTCTCTGATCTGTGTGACCAGCCCTTCTACAGTTGTTACCATTCCACCAAGTGTACCACCAGCTAGCTCCAGGTCAAGTTCTGGGATTTTCACTCCTGCAGTGTCCGACTAATACACGCAAAATTCACTATTAATGACATATGGGAAAGTGGTTTTCTAAAAATAAAAATAAAATATTATAACACATTCTAGCCTACGTAGTGGTTCATAAGGTTGTTTACTATAATATCGCCATCAGAGTATTATATAGCCATATCAAAAGCCCGGAAAGATCAAACAAGCCTATTCTACATACAATATCGAAGTTTGGTCACCTATCTGACACTTTCATCACACGTTCTGATATCTAAATATATTGTTGTGTCAGGCCATAAGAATATATCAAACACTTAGAATGCAAATTATGAAGTATAGCTCCGATTTAGCACTCAGCTAGCTTCATTATCAAACCTTTACCGAACTTAAACTACATACATTATGTTATAAACTTTATCGGTAACGTGGCAGTCTAAGCTATTTTAAGATACATAGAACGATACGGAGAAATCTCTTGGTCCGCCACTTATACAACATTTTCTAAAGAGGTTACTGGTGCAATACTACATCAAACAAACAAATTAAAGCGTAAAACTAACCTTGATAACGTCTCGGCTAAGGTCAGTGATGTTCCTCACAGAGAGAGCTATTTTCTTCCCCTTTTTTGGAATTGCACCACCAGGTTTCAACTGCTCACAGTTACCCAAACATAATTAATAACCTAAATTCCAGGCATGTCTGCAAAATCTCAATCAGGATCAGACCAATGGAACCCAACCTCAGAATTGCGATAGCCACAATCATCACATGTAGAGGCCATGACAATAACCTCCTGAAAGTAAGGGATTTCTATTCTATTGTCAAGTGGTAAACAACATCTAGGAGTTCACCAACAACATAATAATAAGCAAAACTTATTGCTGAAAACCAACGAATGGACAGATCCGAAATTTAGAAGGATACTAGTCACAAACATCCGTGTCTCGCACAGCTTCATACATGCTCCACAACTTGAAGGGAAAGTCATCACCTGTTAGAAATGAACAAAAGCAATTTCGTATGAAATATATTATCACCATCTAAAATTTTTACTCAAACAAAACAACCTTTGGCACTGATTTATTCTCTCAAGTGATCATAACCAAGAACATTCAACATAACTGTTCCAGAAGTTACCTCTTCAGGTGCAGTGTATCTGAACAAGTTATCGGAAATATCAGTGCTATTACTTTGAGCAATCGCCCGATGACCAGCTGTTGCTCCGATTGTTCCATGAGGTAGAGCAGTTGTTTCAGCTGAAGGTGTAACAAGGCCTCTTTCTGACTGTCCAGTCTGAGATGGGTTAGCAAGATATCCAAGTGTTGCTTGTTGCTTGGGTGTTCGCTCATAGAATTGGATCGTTAAAGAGGGATCTGGTGAGGGTGCATGCCTGTCATATGTTGTAAACTTGTCATAAGCAAATAAGCCAAAAATAACTTTGTTGTTTTTTTTTTTGGAATCTCCAAGTTGAATATCCTTACGGGTTCTCAATGAAACTGTTTCCAGCAGGATCATCCAAAATGAAGGTAAAGGATGTCTCTGCTTTGGCACAAGCTCTCAGTTTAGACAAAAATTGGTCTATTGCTTCAGCAGTTTTAGGATCCACTTTCTGTGTCAAGAAAAATCTGTACTTTAAGATATAACAATTAAAATGGGCATTTAAAAAAAATGTCCAGCTTCAACTCAGAATAATTTACCCTGCGTTCTTCTTGAAGGGCACTCAGTTCATCGGCAGCCCGTGATAATATCCCTTCTACCTGGAAATTAAACAAATAGGGGGAGTTACTAATAAGGAGCTGAAGACTAAGAAAACAAAAAAAAAATCTTAAAAGAAAACGCTAAGGTCTAATCAGAAAATATGAACTGTTCATAAAGATGGTTAAGAAATCAAGGACTTACTGTAGACAAACTTCCACGTTGGGCCTCTGGTGGAATCTCAAAATCCAGTTCAGGAATCTGAAAGCATGCATTCATGTGAACTACTATAAGTTTCCTGCTTCAAATCAATTCATTTTCATAATACGAGAAACAAACTAGTTCACAGTTTTCAGGAAGATTATATGAAGTGATTTCTTATAAATATCCAGGAAGTTGCCCAGGCAAGCAAAATGAGAATATTTTTTATTCCAAGGAGAAATGACATCCCAGAATTTGCAAGAAAACTCACCTTAATAGTGGCTGATTCAGATTTAACAACTTGCCGGTCAAATATCTGCACTGGGACAGAAATGAGAAGGTAAAATTAGCTTAGGAAGTGAGAGACAACTAGAACCAGATACATTTCGAATTTCTTATAATAAGAATGGACGGTTGTATTTCTACCTCATGGTAAGTACATCTCCAAATAAGTCAAATGAAAAAAAACGAAAAAAATGAAAATTTAGAATCAATGCATCAACCTTCACATCGCCAGCTAAAACCTCTAGATGGTAAGAGCATCCTCGGGGTTGAATCTCGCCAGCAAACTGAACTTCATTATTCCTATAAAATATATCAGAAATTAAATTAAAGGCTTTATCTTTCAGCTGAGAAAAACAGAAAATATTAAGCGCATTTGTCTTCATAATTCACCCTGCTTTAATCGTGTACTTCAAAAAAGCATCTCAAAGTTATCAGAAGTTGTACCTTTCGCCGCAATGCGGACACTCAAATGCAGATAGTAAGACCTGTAACCAGAAGTAGGTTAGCAGTAAGTTTGTTAGCGAAGAGAAAATGTCTAGATACACATACATCCAGTGAAACACGTTTCTTTAAACGAAATAATAAAACTTTGTGGATTTTAACGCTCTAGAATGTGGTCAAATAACAGTGAGTAATGTACAAAAAATCTAAATATAGAAGATAAACAAAAAAGGGGGTACTTCTCAAAACAGAGTATAACATACCTTTCTGAAGTGAGGAATTAAGGTCAATAGAAATCTAGTTGTTCCCTGGAAAAGAAATAAGAAGCTAATTTATGCACAGAAGAAGGATCAGGAGAAAGACCAAGAAAATTCATACAATGGATTCTTTACAACTGAAGTAAAGGATTTAGAGAAAGAACACCATATAAAGTTTCTCTAATTGATTGCCACAGAACCACAAATTTCAATAGTTTTACCAAAATTTCTCAGTCCATCATCAAGACATAGCCAATAAGTTGCATTCCATCTCGCTATGGTTCATAACAATCTCAGAAGCCATTGCATAATTTGCATTGCAGAAAGAACTATGTTATTGCTAAAATACATTACGGCTAAGTGCATGTACACTAGTGGCCCTGAAACTAAGAGCAAAGGTTAAAGAGAAAGTAGCATGTGTCCTAGACCCAAATTAGTGAGCAAAGGTTGCAAACTATACAAGATTTTCCACCACAAAAAGCTATGCTTATATAGAGAATTTCACTTGTAACAACAATGCATTCAGCTCTTATTTTGGAATATACACACAGACCTCACTACAAACAAATGCGTGTGTATGTGATATATAGAGAACGAGAGATACATACATTTTCACCGCACCGCATGCACATGCTCTCAACTACGTAGAGGGGAGCACCGAAGGAATGATCAGCAGAAACAGCTTCAACGACCGATTGGACATCGATTTGTTGATCATTTCCATTGTCCATCATCTCTGAAGTTTCTCCAAACAATCCCAAAAAAGTTCAAAACCCTATAGGGAGAAACAAATAATAATGAGCTAAAAGCACTAAACTTTGATCAAATCAAGATTCCAAAAACTAACCCTACACTAAGAAGCTATAAGAGCTCTTTCAAAGCTTAGAGCAGGTTCTAAACCCCAAAATCTTAAAAAGGAGAAAGACCAGCAACAAAGATATAACAACAGTTCAACAATCTTCAGAATTTTTTTGTTTAAAAAACAGAGAAATGAAAAACAAGAGTAATTTCTAGAAACCCAAAAAACCCAAATTAATTCACAGAATCAAAATCCTATCATCTGAAACCCTATATATCAAGAAACGGAGTTCAATTTCGTCAATGCCAAAAGAATTTTAAAATAAAACAGAAAAGAGTGAAATTTGATATCAATTTCGAATGGAAATAGCAACATGGAGCCAAGTCAATATGAGTATAAATGGAAATGAAACCATAACATAGCGAGTGAAAATAAGAATGAATACCTTCAAAATTTACAAACTTGTGTTGTTTGTGGAGATTACAGGTTTAAAAACTGAAAGATGAGAACACCGAAAAATTCTAGAAACGGCGAGAGAGTAGGAGAAAGACCCACGTGAGCATCACGTGTTTTCTTTATTATAAATTGTGGGTTTTGGATTTTGGGCTTAACTCCATTAGATCATCGGCCCATTCAGTTTTCTAGTTTTCGCTTGTTACAGAAATCTTTAATCCCGAATTAAAGTAACCACAAAATTAAACCATGCTCAAGTAGAAGAATCCTCGAAACTTGGAAATGATGGAAGATAATTTTTTTTCGATCATCTAGATTTTTATTGAAAGTTATAGAATCTTACAGAAAGCAAAATCCCAAAAAAGATAAATTAAAGCCGGAGGAAAAAGAATATATATCCGGAAACAAGTTTTCGAAATGATGGAAGGAATTCAAATGATGAAAAATGAGAGAACATTAAGTCATTAACGGTGAAGCTTTACAAACAAAAATTTAATGATTGTTTATAACGAAAAAAGTTGGTTTTTTTTGTCATAAAAGTTGGTTTATTAGTTCTATGGTTTTGGTTTAAATTGCTAGACTACATAAATCTGAATTACTAAAAGATCTCATCAATTGTCAGTTTCAGCCAAGAGATCACCATAACTGAAACACAAAATGTCATCAATCTTTAAATTATTTGGAGTCGTCGTTACGTTGTGGTATGGTATGTACAGATTAAATAATTTTCTGTTCGTTAAAACTTTTTTCACCGTTATGAAAGCGAATACAAAACTAATTACAAACGTAAAGTGGATTCTTGACATTTGTTGTGTGATTTGTAACTTGGGATTTTCATTTTTTTACATGAATTAAAAATAGGAGACGCGATAAAACACAAACACAAACCAGATGCATTTTTTTTTATATTTTGAGTTTCTATAGATGACCAGATACCGGTACAAAAAAATCATCATGTTTATCACGGATCCAATGACCTTAGAAATTCGGAAACATCAGATCAAATATTCGAGATAATTTGCCGAAAATGTAGCAAAATGTTTATAAATAGATACATTCAGGGTTAGACAATTTAGACTTCCGAGGGAGAAAAAAAAGGAGGACTACTCAGGGACTTAAAAAGAGATGTGTAATTCACTCTGAGCATGATGGTCATTTACAAGCACCGATTATAAATAGAACTCTCTGCCGAAGTTGACGGATGATCTGAAATTATGCAAAACAAGAAGAGTCAGCAGAAGACTAATCCGAAAACACTAAACATTTGGTAGAAGAATATAAAGAGGTCATTGAAGAGAACGAACAGAGTTAGAAGCAGAGAGCTTAGCCCATTTTTCGATAGAGGCACAACTGGTTTTGAGGTGAGAAGAGTAAGCATCTTCTGCGTTGACGGAGTAGTCCGAGTTCTCTGTCGCCTCACCAACCCACATATCGTTTTTTGTATCCTTTGCTCTTTTTAATAGATTGCAGAATCCTACCTGCCAAATAAGAAGCACACAACATTTGTCAAAATGAGAGTTAAATAAAGAGATCACGGATTAAACTAGAGAAGGAATTTTGTTCATACCACAGATCCGACAAGATTTTGACTAAAGAGGGTAATGGGGAAGTCATCCATGGATGGGGTGCTGAAGCTTATAGCAAAAAGACTATATGAGATTTCCCCTGAATGTAATCGTTGAAAGGATCCATCTGTCACAAACACCCACTGCTTCTTCTGTTCAACATCCGTGTATACATTTCCAACATATACCACGTACGCCGCGATATCAAATTCACTAAGAGGATGATAATAAGATGTGTTAGGGTTTATATAAGCAAAAGTAAGTTTGGTAAAGAGTGAATATAACAAGCTTGAGATTTAACCTTGAAAGAGGAATTTCACCAAGATTTGGCAAAGAGATCGGTTTACGAGGATTAAAAAAGGGCCTGGAGCACAGGGAGATTAAACAAGTAGATGAGATACATTCAGGTATGTCTACAAAAGATAGCCCAAAAAAAACAACTTACTGAAAACTTTCAGAAGCTTTTGGAGACAAAGGCTGCCATCCTGAGGTAGACCCTCTGGCATGTAAGTAGAGTGTTTGTGAATCTGAGTTTATTGGAGCCAGCCCTTTCATTATGTATATCTTCCCCTCTGTCAACTCGGTTATCTGTCATAGTAGTAAAAAATGACAACTGTTTTAAGAATCTACAAGAGCAAAAGTTGCTCAACCTAATGAATGATGCTCGTCTTGTACATAGATGGTCACGATTCTGGTATGAGCTTTCAGTTCACACAAGGCCCACAGCAATTCTGATAGGGTTATGATTAAAGTCACGCTAAAATCTAAGCGCATGTGGAAAAGGTTCGTGTAAACTTATATAACCCATTAGAGATAGTGCCCTCTTTTAGATTGTGGATGTAACATTCAGATATAGGCATTTTCAATGTACCTGTGTATCCGTGGGATCCCAGATTGTTACAATGCCTTCTTTTGGATTGTGTTTTCCTTCAGAACTCAAGCTTGTCAGTCCAACAAGCCTAACCCTCATGAATGGGGTGACATCCCTTTCACCTAAGCCAGCGTCTTCCAGAGCTTCTGTCACTGATTTTTCCATCTTTTTTTGCCTAGCTGCCTGAGGTTTAAATAGAAAAAGTCAGTTAATTTATGGCTAAACGATCTGTTAAGAAGATATAAACAAAAAACATTCTACCTCAAACTTTGATTTATATGCTGCAAAAGACGTCAACTGCTCCATACTCATATCCGCCATTAGGAGTTCAGGTTCAGCAGCAGTCTCTAACAGCGTATAGAGCTTGGCTCCTTCGCTGTCAGTGTCGTTCTGGCTGTGGACACCATTGATTCCTCTCTCGTACTCACAAATAAGACCCTCAACAAGAGCTGAGCGCCTAATGGCAAACAGGAAAGAAAAGAAGATATAGGAGGTAAGAATGAGACGAACTGCAATATTTAGCTCGTCTGTTGGCTAAGCAGCAAAGCCAATTGACTAAAGTAGTAAGCAAATCCATCCACATTCAGATACCAGCCACTGCGAACCTAATATTTTTGATTGTTACAGAACCTTTCTAGCTTTGATGAGTACTCATGACACTCCTTAGACGATATGCATGAGCCAAATTGATCACATAAGTGTTACCAAAAAAATTCTCTATAAAGTTATAATGGAAACTTGCCGCTGGTTATGCAACTCGATCATTCTACTTTCCATCCTCTCTGATCGAACTATTGCCTTCCTTTCACCTAACCTGTATACACCAAGAAGATATAAGTTTTTGCCAGAAGCATAGAGGGGAGTAATTTGTTAAAAGGCACACATTTATATTGACCTTTCCTTGTACAGAATAGGGTATATTCGTGTGATTCCAGCTATCGTTTTAGGAACTGGACCACCATTGCTCTTGATACAATTGAGAGACAAAGGGACACTAACTTCTTTACCTTGAAGAAGAGTTCAAAAGACAGTCAATATAACGAAACCAATATGAAAGCACAAAACCACTATGAAATAAGCAACTCCGAGGATGTAGTGACCACATCATAAACCTACTTACAGAATCCTAGTCGGTCCGCCCAGTGAGCTCTGTATGTCCCATTAATATTCAACAACAAAAAAATCGTATTTGAAGTCCTTGCCTGAAAGTATGGTTGAATGAAACCATGAAAAAACCAACATGGGAAGGTTTTAGAATACTCTGATAAAATTCAAAGTCTAAGAAACCTCAAGAGGTGATGTTGGGGTAGCCCAGCCAGAAAGTCCTGCCCCAAGGATCTTCGGATAAGAAATAAGGACGTTAGCATGCTGTAAGTCAGTGATCTAACAAAAAATACGTATTACCAAAAAAATATTTAAAGCTTGGAGGAAAATAACTTACTCGAAGCTTCTGCCCGATAAACAATTTTCCAGCATTCAGTTGTTTTGTCAGCATGACATCCAGAGCAGCATTCATCGAGTACCTGCGATGTTAAAAGAAAGAAAGAATCATGAGGAAACAAGACAAGAAAACAGTTAAACAGGTACCCATACAGCAATAGTGATTTCATACCACCCATCAGTGAGTTCTATTTTGACATTGCTGCCACTGTAAGAACCATGCGTTTCCTGATAATCATCATCGGTCTTTGGGTTAATAGCTGATATGCAGAGCACCATCATTGAAGAAGCTGGAGCATCACCACTCAGAATCCTCTTGATTGCAGAGCAATGACCATGATTGGCCTCTCTGTCATACCTATGTAGGTAGATTAACCATGTTAGACTTCGCATGAGCTCAAATAATAACGAGTTTGTATTGAACGATCAGGAAACCTGTATTTTAATTCCTCAAGAACATTAGGAATTGTCAGAAAGTTTCTTCTGCATTTGGCTGGGTAGTATGTCTCGTAGCATGCAAGTTTCCAGACTATCCACCTGTAGTGATTGGTGACCCACCTAGTGCATATATATAGTGATAGATAATTAACAAGTGTAGAAATTATTGCTCACTGTCTATCTAATAAAATGAGAATCAACATTCAAGATCATTAGAACGGTCAAAAACATTTTCTGATACAATAAGCAGAAACATGGTAACTTAAAACATTTCAAGACACGGAGAAATTACTTTCTAGATGCATGTTGTAAGGAAGCACCACACTCTGCCAGAATTTGATGAAAAGTTTCAGCTCCAACCACGCTTGAGGAAGGCTCGTCACAGAATACATATCTATCTGCATTACTTGATTTGATCCTTCTGACATGATCTGGCACATAAACCATCTAAGACCAGCCCGTAAGCGTGGTTTGAGTGAATGACAAACGAAAAGGTATATATATATATATATATATTAACTCAGGAACATGTGAAAGGGAGAAAAGATTTTACCTTGCTCGTAGCTGTTGGATGCATTCCAAAATAATCCTTGATATATACTCTTGGAGACCTTTCTTTAAATCTTGTAGAAAGCACTTTTTTGGAATAATGAGTATCACATAATTTGACAGACAAACCTGTTAATAGACAGGATACCAAAAATTAGAAATCTGAGAGCCAACCAAATAAATTCACCTAGAAAATTCGTTAATAACAACAACATCATAATAAAGGCTTGAATATTTTACCATTTGAAGCATGCTGAGCATTGTTCATTAAAGGAGGTTTAAAGGAAGAAGTCCTTGGCTTTTTAAACGGAGGAACAGAGACCGTCTTTCCCAGTCTTTTCTTTTGGCTACTGTCTTGTTTATTGTTTGCGTAAGTTCTTTCACTGCGATTTGTTATATCAACAAGTGGCTGGTCAGCTGGCCTTCCAAATTGTTTAGCTCTTGGAATGAAACCCTTTTTCGTGGGATTATTCACTGCCATATCTGATGCTAAGGGCCTGTCATTTGATAGTCCATGTGTAGCAGGTTTAGTTATATTCAGAGCACAGTCTGTCTCATCAACAGCCGCATCAAATTTCTTGATCAAATTACCCCCTGAAGATATGTTCTCCAATCTGACTGATCTAAATTGCTTTGACGATGTCTGAAGAGGAGATATAAAACTATTTGAAGTATGCTTGTTGCTTGTCGTTCCTTTATGAGCAGTATAGCCTGTGTTGGCAATATCTCCTGACCTTTCATCTTTCTGTGGCGTAACAAACTGATCATCTGCTGCTACATCATCAAAGAAATTCCCTAACTCAGGGTCTCCAAGAAGGCTTCTAGCACGTTTCAATGCCTCAACCGACACTGACAATGATCTTCCACCAGCAGTCTGAAACTTTGTTTGAGGCACCTTTGAAGCTGGAGTCAACATATCAGATCTCCTCCCAGATACATGACTCTCATATTGTCTACCTGGAGTTACTGAAGGATGCTGAACCGATGTAGCATCATGACTTTTCAACCCAGACCACTCATGTTTCTCTTGGGAAGAAGACGAACAGTTCGCATGGTTAAACCCATTCAAATCATCTTCTTGTAGTCCTAACAATGCTCTGGCTTTTGCCAGACCGGCAGAAGATACATTAACCTTCTTGTTAGAAGCTGTCTGGAATAAAGTGTTGGGAACACCAAACCCACTCTCCCTGGGAAGAACGTTGTTGTCTACACAATCGAATAGAAGCTTTAGTAACAAATCAACTGAAACTAAAATACCATATCTAATAATCAAGTAAGATGGTGAGATGATTATTTGTTTCCTACCAGCTGTTAACAGCCCAACTCAAGAAATTGTGTGAAAAAATAACCAAGAATGTCAAATGGAACAGCAAAAAGAACAACTTGATACAAAAATGTTCACACAAAAACTCCTCTTTTGCGGATTTGAGCATCGTATGTTGCGCAGATCTAAAGAACAGTGAACATTCAAAAGATTTTATCTGAACCCATTATCACCTATAATCTGAAATCCTCCTAAGAAATCGGCGAATCATCTAGCACAAGAAGTAAATTAAAGGGTTTTCCTGTAAAATAACGCACCTGAATCTGCTAAAATCGATTTGGCTCTGGAAATCGAAGAGTCTTTTAGAGACACAGACTTGCCTAGACCAGTCGTAAACATTGTTGGCATCGCTTCCTCCCGTTCTATAAGCTTCGAGCAACCTTCATCAAACAATAATTTTAATCTCTCACACTGAAAAACGAATCGACGAAAAAAAAATTCACCTCGGAGCAAGAGATCAGCCATAGAAGGTAGAGGAGGAGCTGTGGAGTCGATCGTTTTCGTGGATGTAGTAGAATCGGAGTTGTCAGACTGACGAATCCGGCCACCGACTTCCCACCGGAAATTATCGCCGCCGGGATCGGAAAGTAGCTGCCACGTCGACATTTCTTCAGTTCTAGGGTTTCGAAACTGTGTCGATTCGTTTATTATCTGATTCAGCCACAACGAGAGCGAGGGAATGGGGGAAAATCATAAATACCAGAAGAAAAAAAAATTAGAAAGATTTTGGAAAGGCGGGAAAGTTGAAAAACATTTTGCGCTGAAAATATGACGCGCGTTGTTTTTGAAATTTGAGCTTGATACTTTCTATCACAGAGTAGTTGTGGATATGGAAATGACACCAATATGATTCGGTTCGGTTTGAATTTTTGGGTTTTGAGTTAACCAAACGAAACTTTTCGTTTTCGGTTTGGAAGTCTGAACTGATCAGCAACTTTCAAACTTGGGATTGGTCATCATTACGGTTTGGTGTGGTTGTTCATCTGTTTTGATTTAATTTTCTCAAACGGACCTATACCAATTCTAAACCGAATAATCTATCAAAATTGGATCACGCGATTATAACCAAAAACCCGATTAACGAAATCAATATAAATTTTTTTTTGTTAATTTCTGTAAAAATTAAAATATCCGAACTAACTGATAACCGATCAGAACCATGATTTTTTGGGTTAATTTTGGTAAGATTTTTAAGTATCAAACTAACCAAAAAAAAAAAAAGAAAACAAATGGACCGGTTCCGTTTGGTTAACCAAATTCCATGGCCTGTATTTTTAAATAAAATGTTAGTTTAGTTCGAGGTTATCTAATTCTAAAAAATAAGTTTCATTTGAGATCAAATTATAAGAAAATAAAAAAATAAATAAATGGAACTGATTTTAATTAAGATTGCAGATTTGTAATATACAGTATTTAAATATAATTATCTATATAGAAAGTACTAGTTTTTTAATAGAAGATTTCTGTTATTATAATTTGGTTTTACATAGTACTAGGATAGTACCCGTGCTGTGCACGGGATGAATGTTATCTTTTATACCGAAATCATAAACTACTATAATGTATGTATACAGGATGTTGAATAATATTTGATTAATTGCGCATTTTGTTGTATTTGAAACAGAATTTATTTTAAGTATTTATTTATGTTAGTACCATATTGATATATGATAAATGGACTTGATATATGTGACTAACTATTTATTGATTTATTTAGTATTTTTTTGTTTTTAATAGTTTCCCTTTTTGTAATATACATAAATGAATGAATTTAACCGATTTCTAATTTCATTCATAAATATATATATTATGCTAATTATAAGAAAAATGACCAAATAAATTGAAGTGTATGATGAAAAGAAAGACAGAATTAATATATTCGACTATTAATATTAATATTATATTTTGGTATAAGAACAGTCAGTGAATGTATATTAACTTGATATGCTTTTGGTTAATAGTTAGGTTATAAGAACAATTTTATATATCTGTCGCATTACTTGAATGTATATTAACTTGGTATGGTTTTGGTTATTTATAATTGAGGATGATATTATTTAAACTTTCTATGTTGTCTACTATAAACGTATATAGTATTAGACGAATATATATACATATATATATCGTAATGAGCAAACATCTATAGAGAATAATGAAAGCAATCTATCTTATTAATAAATCATGAATTTGACATAAGTTTGTAGAATTAAAACGTTGACTACTTCACTTGGTCACCTTTGTAGCTAAACGACATGAATAGTTGAACCTCCAACCATAATTAATAGGTGAATATGATATATGAGATTAGTCTTTAATCTCAGTGTCATTGTTCTCCATCTTATTGGATTTGAAGTACCTAAATAGTTATATACAGATATGTTATTACTGGCATTTAGAAAAATATCAAATATTTATATAGTACTTACTTATCTTTGAACTTGTCAACTTCAACAATATGGGGATCAAAAAGAAACCTTGACATCCCTCTTGCATCCGAAACAGTCAATGTCCCTAAAACATAGATTTTACGTATAGTTAATATTTGATCTAACAATAATAACTACTGTTATCATGATTAAATGTTAAGAACTTTGTTAGAAACAAACCATTGTTGTAAGCTCTACGCCAGTCTGTCAGTACACATGTTATATTAGAACCACAGGCAGACCACCATTGTGATTGGAAATCATCAGCCAAGTTACCATAAGCAACACAACTAATTTCAACATTCCTACAATATATTAACAAAATATATTATTATCTTGATAACATACAATTAAATGGGTAACGATTTAAATACTTACTTGAGATTTCTCAACGTAAATCGTAGTCGACTATAGTATCTACGAAAATCACAATCTAGTCCGTAATCCTTAATCCTTGTAAGCCGTCCAACGTGGACAACAGCACCAAGTAAATCTAATATCACATAAAGTATCAAAAGATGTTTAAAAGATTTTAAATTGAAAATCAATGAGAATTATATAAGACAAATATGAAATACCAATAGGATACTTATGATCAATAGTCTCATCCAAAATATCCTCAAACTCTGAGAAAGACATAAATTGAGTATCGGTGGGGATTTCATATAGCCTTTTGACAGTAGTATTCTGAAGTAGAAAAATCCTCCATTTATGATGAGTTGTTTTCTGAAACCAAAATGAATCATTTACAACAAAATCATGTAGAGTATTCCACTGTCCTTCTTGCAAAGCTTGATCATAATACGAAACCAACACAGGATTAGTCATCGAAGCTTGAATCTTGCATCCCTGAAAAGTTCAGTATCAATATATTAAGATGTTTATGAAAAATAATACTACTATGAAGTAAATAATAATAACTTACTTCTTCATCCACCAGAATAAATTCCAAACCTTCAATTCCTTGTGGACCAAGAGTTTCCCATTTTTTTAAAACCAATATTTTGATTTTCCAGTCCGATCTCCATGAATGCAAATCAGAAACTCGGTGATAGAGTTCCATGGTGAAAGGGTACGATGTGGTATCTAGGTTTTAGACAACTGCAAAATCCAATATATATAGGAGGCTTTAGGTTTATAGTAATACAGTTAGATTAATATGTCTAATGGAAACCGAATATCTCGCATGTATATTTTCTAAGATCATGAAACTATATTTATAGTTTCAAATTTAGAAACTAAATATCCATTAATAAATTCATATATTATTTTTGATTATATCTAAGTGATTTTTTATTTATTGATGATATGATAGTACTATTTATATAGAAGTACAACGATATATATAAACTGTGTAATATAACAGAAAAAACTTGTTTACGTTGGTTGCATGTTAAGGATTAGTAATACATCATTATTTAAAATTTCTACTACTCATTAGCGAATAAAAAGGCAAAATATATGACTATCAAATAATTCAAAAAATTAATATCCAAATAATACACTTTACTGAAATCAAATTAAATATGGTAGGAAGAGAAACAAAGTGTTTATTAAAACAAACTTAGGAGAACACCACTCATAACAAAATATAAAATAGAATATAAAATATAAGATAGCATAACATAAGTCCTAATCCTTTATTCCTTGAGAACTTGAAGCATTCACGTATACTTTCGTTATCTTCTTTGCAAGCCTGAGAATAATATTTTTCATGTAATTAGTCAGTAAAAAAAAATCATAATCAAAAACTATTGAATGTTAATAAAGTTTATTACTTGATCCCAAAGCTTTTGACTTCATCCAATGGCGGGGCAATAGCAAAACGTGAAAGCGATCCCTCCTTGTAATTTTCAATTGTCATTTCATCTAATATATAAATAAGATAAGGTCATCAAGTTTTGAATGTCTATAAGGTTGTCTTATAAATATGAAAATCATATAAACGCACCAATGTTTTTCTTAACCAACCAATCAGTTAAGACACAAATAGCAAATGGACTCTTCCCTACAGGACCTTTGCATTTCCCTTCTATCTCGTAAGCCAAGTCATCATGTGCAACACATTTAAGAGTACAATTCCTACACATTATAATTATTATGATTATATTGTATCTCAAATAATGATATAAAAACATGAAACCATTATATTACTTACTCCAGATCTTTAATTCGGAATCTCAGTGTTGGAACACTTTTGTCATCGGGATAAACAATTGTTACCATATTTTTGACATGATCCAGAACACCAATGAAATCTGGATTACAAAATATTGTAGTACAACAACTGATCAATATTACACAATCAATCATACAATACTATATTCGATAACGCTAACATAGTTAAATACATAATTAATAAAGATAAATGTTAATACTTACCAACTGGGTATAAGTGGCTGTAAGACTTATTGTAAACACGGCTGAAATCAACAAAACGAAGGAAAGGATCTCCAATCAAAGGTCGGATGGAACTGACCTTAGTTTCACCATCTAAAATTATTTGCTTAACGTGTCTTGTAGTCCGTTCTTCCCACTTAGAAGGAATTAGTTTGAATTTGGATAACTGCACCCAATTTCCTTCTTGCAAAACGTATTCGAAATAGGATAGATTGAGATTACCAACGTAGGCAGAAATTCTGCAACCCTGTTATGGTAATTGATATAAAACATTAGTAGCAAAACGATATGAAGTACTAATAATATAAAACATTGATAGAGATGAGTATCAAACTTACATTCTCATCAACCAATATGAAATTCATCACACGAAGACCGTCGGCATCAAAGGCCCCCCATCTCTTTAAAATCTTCACCTTAATTGTCCAACCATCCTCCCAAGATTGTAACTCATGCACCATTTGGTATTCACGCATTTTGTTTGAGTTTCCGATTAAAGATGAATAAAATGGTTTGCAGCAAAGGTTTATATAGGAGTATGTTAGTAAATTAAGGTTATGACGTCCCAAAATTATTTGCGTATATACGAAGAATTGTAAAAATATTTGCAACAGTCAGTGATTTTTGGAATATGTATCTTGTTAGTTATATCTTAGATGGCATAAATAACGATTTTCTATATTGTTTAAGAATATTTCCATAGTTTGGTTGAAGTTGTTACGATACATTTAACAGATTATAGAATTAAATATTAACGTATATTTTGTGCAACTTTAAATAAGTAATATGACAAATATATGGA